CAGGGTCCCCCACACTTCAGAGGGCCAGAGGCTGGTACATCAGCAGCACTGGTGGGAGTTTGCTGTAGACAAATGAATCAGCAGAACAGATGAGCAGCTCCTGAAGCATCTACCCACAATCTACAGCAAGAAGAGATGTAATTTCAGGCTTGTGGCAGATGCTGGAGGGTTTGTGGTGCTAAAAAAAAAATAAATCTCAACACACCTACATATAGATAGCTTTCTAGGACAAGGAAATCCTGCAGTAGCTGAAAGAAAACCAATCAGAGCTCTCAACTGCATTTGAGGTAAGGAAACAGAACATGGTCCAACACAACATCTCTAAAAGGTCAGTTTCCCAAAACTAGAAACAATCAAACAAAAATAACTGAGAGAAAACACCTAAATATAAGTAACTGTGACAATCCTTATTGGGAAATGTTTAAAGATGCCTTAGTAGAGCCCTCCTTCGCACCAAAACCAGCAATACTATGTTTAAAAAAATGTTTATGTGGTTTAAAATAAGAATTTTTTAAGACAAGACACAAATTTAAAAAATAAATATGTAACAAATTGAGAACTCACTATAAAATTAGAGCTAGAAATCAACACATTTAATAAAGAAAGCTAAAAGATATCAAAATAACTACTGGCAATAGGTACATCAGGAAAAAAAGCAACCATTTATCAATACAATAGGCTTGATGCTAAAAAAGTGAAAGTATCCTGATATACAAGATGGTGGAAATATAAGCAATACTTTTTATCTTTGTAAATAAGGATGACTTAAATCTCAGCTATAGAAGCAAAATTCTCCGAAAAGTCAGTTGGGAATATACCCAACACCATCTGCTAACCATCCTTCACATCTGTAGCTAGAAAAGTTGCACTCAGAGCATATGAAGGAGCTCACCAAATTCCCAACACTGACTTAAAAGCAAAAAAAAAAAAAAAAAAAAACCTTTTTGGTTTCAGAAAAAGAGGTGCTTGGCATGTTCCAGGCTTTTAAAGTGAAGGGAAACAAAAAAAAAAAAAAAAAAAAAAAAAAAAACCAACACACCAGAAACATGTCCCAGGCCAGCCAGGAAGTTCCAGAGGTCTTGGAATAATAAATAAAAAACCCCGCTCAAGCAAACAAAAACTTAGCACTGCGCCAGTATTTCCAGAGGGCAAACGGCTGACCCGGGAAGTGCAGGCTGGTCACCCTGCCCATGCTCCCGGCAGGGCAGGGAGCAGCCAGCAATCAGGGGGTGGAAACACAACTCCTGTTAGTCAACACAGTTTTCTGGCTGGAGGGCTTGTCAAACGGATCTAGTATTTCTTCTGAGAGTTTGCATTTGGCTGACAAAGGTAACTGTGTTGACATAATACACGCAGACTTCTGTGTGACGCTTGACTTTGGCTGGTGTGACAGCCCAAGAACAAAATCCCCCGCACTGTGCAAACAGCAGTGTATAGTGTATATCCAGAGGATTTAAAAGCCAGTTGAGTCCAGTGACCTCGTTAGAGTTATACCTGCACTGCCTGCCCCCACAGAGGTTTTGGATCCCCCAAGAGATGACGTTCCCAAGAGGGAAAAGGGCCCGTGAGGCAGCAGAAATTGCTCTCTGCACACAAAGCTCCAGGCAGCACTGCTGGGAGACGTGGGTTTCCAGGGAATGCATGTTTGGGCTGTGTGCCTAAGTTTGCAGTGAGTTCAGAAGAGCTAGAGAAGGGTATTGCAGAGCCTCTGCCCAGGGAGGAGGCTAACTCATTGAAAAACATTGGCTGGTTTTAGTGCTGATTTTCACACTTGAAAAGCTAGCCAGAGGCAGAAATGGAAAGCTGTAAACTCAGCCATGCCAGCAGCCTTTGGCTGGTCCTGATCCTGCACGTGCCACATAATACATGGCTCACTCATATTATTTCCCACTTGGGTCCTAATCTGTGCTCAGCGCTCTGAGCACCTTCCAGTAACAACACTGGACACATCAACATACCTTACACCTTCCCACATGGTAAGTGGAGTAATGTGATTTCTCTTGGTAAGTTTTACAGAGCAGTTTTTTTGCTTCCCAACTCCCCCAGTGCAGGGATATCAGGGTGGTCAGGTTTGTCAGAGTTTTCAATTGCCATAGAAGTTCACCTCTCCCATAAAGACACAGATATCTCTCCTGCCAGAGGAGCAGAGTTATTTCCCACGCCCTTCACCCTCAATCACATAATTGTCCTGCACTGTGAACATACAGACCAAAGTCTGCAGCTCTGATTGAACCTCTCTGACCACACAAACAGCTACAAGTGTCCGGGTAGCTGAATGTAGGAAACTTTAACGCCAGCAGCTCTCCAGCAAGACTGACTGAACGCGAACTGTCCATCACAGAGGAAGCTTGTGGCTTTCAGTGAATCCCGACTTCCTCTGCCCACAAGCACCGCCCACCTCCTTCTCCTCATTCAGCTCCAGGCAACTGTTGATATGAGACCCTGCCCTACAGACACACTCGTACTCTGCCCGTCGCAGCTGCGTGCAGAGCAGAGGTGCCCAAATGTGACAAGTACTGCAGGGAAGTCCAGGGGAAAGGACCAAAAACCCCATCCCCACAAGAGTGATCACCCACCACGGCTACTGAAGCAGTGCCAGTTACACATCCCAGCCTGAACACAGCTTATCCTGCCAATGCAGTTTTAGGTCCAGCTGGACAACCTTGCATGGGCTTGCTCCAGAAATGGAGGGAACGAGGCTTGGCGCTTCCAGGATTTGGCAAGAGCTGACACAGCCATCACAGGTGCCCTTTTCATTTATTGAACTGGCTTAGGGTATGTTTGCACATGAGCAGATAAACTCTTTGTCCAAAGGACTTCAAACTGGCTGCTGGGCTCCAAATGAGCCCCTCTCATTCACGTGGCTGTTCACATGTCAGGAGGAGCATGAACTGAGCTGAGATCCCTGACTTTTTGTCCTAGGTCCAAGAAGGCTGACAGACTGCTTTTTTCCCAACATGGAGAGAAGCAGTATTGTCTGAACATCCTAAACACACATGATCTTCTCAGCAAAACAACAACAGTTAGACGCTGGTTAGACATTTCACCTTACTGAACTTCAGACCATCACCATCAACCTGACCATGTCACCCTTCTGCTGTTGAACCCTTAGTAATTTGGCACAGGCATTCCCAGTTTAGGCTGTGACTGAAGGAGAAGCAGAAGTGAACTCAGGTGAATAAAGCAGGATGGGTCTCCTGACACTTACCACTGCTTCAAAGCCTGTCACACTGAATTCCCCACTAGTGACACTCAAGTTTTGTGTGCAACAAGAGCCACCTTCCCTCAGATCAGGAAGGTGAGCAACTTGTGTTAGCTTTACTCATACACCCCGATAGCTTGTATGGAGAGCAGACAACAAGCTACTGACAAGGATTAAGATTTGGAAAATATCTCCGTGATCACTTCAAGAGAAAGTTGCTCTTTTTCACTTCCACAAGAACTTTAACTCAACTCACAGCAGAGGCAGTCTTAAAACATGAAATGCATTCAAGTGATTAACAATTTGAAGGTAATAAAAGCAGTTAATAGACTCAAATCTGCTTGCTTCCCAACCAGCCAGATAACATTAACCACTAGTTATCTTGGGAGAAGGGAAGTGTGTCTCTTTTTCTTTCCCAGAATCACTGATCACAAGCTCGCAACACCCACATTTTAAAGCAAAGCTGAAGGGAACAGCAAATACCTTTTCCAACCATACTAAATTTCTCATAAACCCAATATAGCATGTCTGTGTACTGTGGGTGCTACGGGCAGCGTTTTGCGTACCAGTTAAAGAGCAACTCACTGTTCAAGGTCCCTACATCCAGCACCTGCTCAAGCCAATGGCCATTTCTGTACTACCTATCATTAATGAATCAATCAAATATTAAAGGCACTGGGGAGAAATTGTCCCGTCAGCCTTACCCATCAGGTACTTTCACAGAACTCTGTTGAGTTACTCCATAGTCACGGAGGACCGAGAGAGACAGAGATCAGCGTCTCAAAATGCTTACAACACATCATGAACACTGGAGATATTTCATTAAAACCACTTTACAAGCTATAAAACTGAAGGTCATTTTATGTCTTTCTCTATAAAAGCAGACAGCGGTGTACTCCTCAGCAAAACATACGCTACAGCACAGTTTAAGCAACACACTACTTGAAACTCCTTACAGAGCAACTTACATCCAATATTACTTCTTTGCTAAAATTGATATCCAGTACTATTTCTTTGTTAAAATAACAAGACTTTGAAGGAAAAAAAATTTACACCTTCAAACAATAGAGCCCTCTTAAAAACGTTTAATAGTATCCACTGCACAATTTTCCTGGATTAATTCATTAGGGAGGTTAATACATAAGGCTTCAAAGCAGACTTCTAAATTACCCATGGAAAAAATCATGTAAAATCTTACTCTGCTTTCAGCATCGCAGCTTTACGATGAAAATACTAAAACATTTGCAAGGCTGGAACACAAAAGCAAGTGTTCAGCATTGTAATGGACTCGTCTCAAAAACCCGAGCGCTCTTCCTCCGCACCTGACACGGCACTCGGAGTTCTCACCTGCGCCTCTGCCCCGCTCCTCCCAGCGCGGGCCGGGTGGAGGGACGTGGGTTTTACCTGAGTTCGGGCTCCTCCACGTTCAGCTGCCTCTGGGGGACAGAAGTTTCGAAAAGTCGGAGGACAGCAGCAGCGGGACGGGACGGACAGAGAGCGAGCCGGGAACCCGACGGCAGCCCGCTCACCGGAGAGAACAGACGGGCGGGCGCTGCTCCGGCTCCCCGGCAGCTCGGACCCGTCGGCCGGGGCAGCTCGGACCCGGGGGTCCCCAGCGGAGATGCCCTCACGGCTCCGCTGCGGGGCTGTGGTCCTGCCCCTGCCGCCCCCCGCGGGCTCCTGCCCCGCCACCAGCGGGCCGCGGGGCCGTGCGGGGCCGGAGCAACGGAGCCCGGGGCGCGGTGCGGGGCCGCTCCGCTCCGCCCGCCGCCGCCCCCCGCGCCCGCCCCGCGCTCACCGGCGTTGCGGAGCTTCTTGTTCCGCAGCACGGACAGGATGACCAGCGCGTTGCCCAGCACGTCCACCACGATGGTGAAGATAAGCACGGCCGCCAGGCCCGTGGCGGCCCCCGCCGCCGGGCCCCCCTCCAGCCGGCAGCCCGGGCAGCTCCCGTTGCTCCCCGGCCGCTCCATGCGCGCCTCTGCCCGCGCTGCCGCCGCCGCCGCCGGGGCCCCTCCTCCTCCTCCCGCCCCGACGGCAGCGCTCCCCGCCGGGGCGGCGCGGGGAGGAGCGGCCCCAGGCCCCGCGCGGGCCCGTCCCGGGGCGCTCCCGCCGCCCCCTCCCCGCGGCGCCGCCGCCCTGCCCGGGGCGGGGGCTCGCGGTGCGCGGGGGCTCCGCGCCGCTCCCGGGCCGATGGCGCCACCGCGCGGCCGCGCCGGGCAGCGCCGGGCGGGCCCGGGGCGGGGGGACCCCCGCACCCCCGGGGGGGACTCGCTGACGGCCGCTCGGTGCCACCGGCCCCGCACCCCCTGCCCGCCCGCCCGCCACTCACCCTCCCGGCCGGCCGGGAGCGCCTCCAGCCTGCGCTGCTGCCGGGACGCTCCCGCCCTCTGACGTTTTCCGAGTAGCTGAAGGATTCTCTCTGCCAGTCTTTGCCTGTATTTCCCTCTGCCTGTGTTTCCCGCTGCCCCGCGGCTCCGCTCCCAGCCAGCCACCCCCGAGGCAAACCCATCCCCACAGGGACTTTTTTCAACCACTTACGCCACGGAATAATATACCATTCGCTTTCGGTGTAATACCTTTTACCGGTTGCAATGTGCGCGATGCGGAAGCCTCAGCAACAATTTAAACTCGAGCCAGCGCCCTGGCACGCTTCTCAGCCGCAGGAAAACAGCACGCAGCCGGGATTCTCGCAGCCCAGACCCGCGGCAGGGGCTTCCTGGCACATTCTGTGTTTCATTCCACACCAGCATGAGCGAGAAGAGACCAAGCCTCTGTGGTCAGACTGTGGCCGCAATACTGCAACCACATGAACTCTCAGCTTTGTTTAGAGAACAAAATCAGAACATAAGTTTTATGGATAATATGGAACTGTAGAATGGTTTGGATTGGGACGGACCTTCAAGATCACACAGTTCCAATCCCCCGGCTGTGGGCAGGGACACCTTCCACTAAGACCAGGTTGCTCAGAGCCCCATCCAACCTGGCCTTGAACACTCCCAGGGATGGAGCATCTACAACTTCTCTTCCAGCTCTTTTGTAGCCCTTTAGGTACTGGAAGATGCTGTGAGGTGTCCCTGGAACCTTTTCTTTTCCAGGCTGAACAACTCCAACTCTCTCAGACTGACTCCATAGCAGGGCTGCTCAGCATCAGCCAGGACGCTGTGCTGAAGCCCGGATGGGGGCAGGACAGAGGGCAGGGGCGCTGGGGCTGCCCATCGCCACCTCCTCTGGCTTCGGCCCAAAGCCACCCCTCTGCGTGCAGGTCAAAGTGCCCAAGCAAACATAAAGCCTGTGTCACAACCCGTCATGGGGGTTTTACAACTGCCCGGTCGAGTGAATCAATAACAAAGCTGAAAGCGAACGCTTTGATGGCTCATTCCCCGCCGGCAGAGTACAAGCAGCAGCACAGCACAGCCGAAAGCAGCAGCAAACAGGGTCTGTCCCAGCCTGGTAGTGCGGGTTCAGAGCCAGCCCCGCATCTGCACTCAGACCTTAGCTGAGACAAGCTGCCTTAAATGTCTCTTTCCCTTTCCCCCATGGCTGTAGACCACTCGGTTTTGAAACAAAAATGGAGTTTTTAAAGGTAATTATCAAAGTCCTACATTCTCAAATATTAAAAGAGCATTTTGGCTTGAAGTTGAGCTTATTTGGGCTTCCTTTTGACTCTGCACTGAATTCTGCATAGTTTTGCAGGTTTTGCGTAAACCAAGTAATTTTGTTCACAGACTTTCAGCTGCTCTGTGTTCAGGACCTACCTGTGGTACAGAAGCAGGGTCAGCTCATATGGACAGATCCTTTCGGCACCTTTCACCTTCACTCTGCTCTTCCCTGACAGCTTTTGCACCACTTTTAAGATGCTCTCGGGTGGTTTTTGGCTGTGGAGAGCTGGGACGTGACTTCAGAGGACCTGAACTTTATATACAGGTGTGTCGGCAAGAGCACCAAAGCTGCCCAACTTATTTTGGTGCATAATTTATACCTGCAAAAAGCAGCCTTCTTCCACACCTTGGTGTGGGTGCCCTGGATGGGAAGGCCTGCAGAGCTCTACCAGTCACGTGTGCATCTGCACAGTTGCAGCAACTAATCTCTCGTAAGACACTTAGAAGAAATTTTGATAGATGTAGTGAGCAACTAGAGTGATTTAGATGAATGATATTGAGGCTGTTTCCTCCCACCTTCCTGCTAAATGGTCTCCTCACTGCTTCAATTAAGACAAGACTCTAGGAGGCAGTGGCAAGGGAAAAAAATGAAGGTAGAGGTATCAATAAGACCTTTTTAATTACACTTTACTGGAAACCGCTGACATAAATCATACTGAAATAAGAGTATCCCCAGTGTGTTAGAAGAATTTAGGCTCATTTGCTTGTGCAAGGATCATGAACATGATCACAGGAGAAGGCAACTGAATTAGAGTCAGAAACTGGAGCTCTTCAGTACCCAAACTACACTGGGGAGGGTGTGTACCTGTATGCAAACAGGAAGATCAAGTAGAATGTAATCACTGTAAAATATTGAAGCACCATAAATGCACACTCCTTGTGCAAAAATGTCACAGCTTTGGTAATGGGTGAGGCTGAGAGGGGCATCACTCCTGCCGTGCCACTCACACCCATCACAGCAGCCACGTGCAGAGAATTGTTCATCCCTCTCTCTGTGCCCCTGCCTTGTCCAGGGGCACAAAACACCCCCCCCTTCCCAAACCTACCTACCAGGGCACACAGCTTAGTAAGAGTTAATCCAGGTATACTGTAATAAATGAAAGCTTACATAATTGAAAAATAGCTGAGGCATTAATCTTCCTTCTCGCTACCATGAGTCCTCTTTAAAAAGATTATTTTGTCTTCAGAGACAGCTTTAATGCTACTTAATGAATCGCTTATAAATGAAGGATTTTTTTTCTCCTCCTATACAGGGAGAGGCTGACTACTACACTGATTTTGTCACAGAGACAATTAACTTTTGTCAAATATACAAAGACAATGGCTGTTCTCCACAAATACTACTCTACAGAATTTGGCATATTTAAGGCCAATTTGTCTTGCTATTTTGACTGAGCCTGATAAGTGACAGTGACATACCCATTCCCTTTAGCCGGACCTGGGGAACTCCTCATGCTTACCAAAATAATTAGTGGCCCCCTGGGCATTCCCTAGAACAGGTAGGTTAGCACTGGATAAGGAATACCAGGATGGAAAATCCAGAATTCCAACATGAGCTCATTCAAAGGTGCCTTGGTGTCCCTCTTCAAAGGAAGGAAGAGACATGAGAATAAAGCAGAAAGACAGAAAATCAGGCCACCAGGAAACCTCCCCCTGAACTTCTATGCTGACTTAGTTGCAGGCAGGGTGCAGGCCAAGTGTCTTTGATCTGTAACTCCCTCCCTGCAAAAGCAGGCACCAGGAGCACAGGGACCACCAGGATCATGGGGCAGGTTAGTGGTTTCCCCAGAGCAAATAACTCAATTCTGTCCTTAAATCCAGCATGTGTCTGGGAAGCAGAGTTGTTTCCAAACCATTATCAGAGAGGGATTCACCATTATCCACCCACAGCTCTCTAGCCAAACACATAAAGCGGTAGTTCCTCTCTCCCAAACTTTTTTCTTGTCCATTTGGACTGTGCAGCTGTTTACTGCAGAGGCAACACAGCCGTCCTGCGCATGGCGTAGGAGAATCCCAGTCTTGGGAAAAACAGCACTGGCTGCTTCAGCAATAAACAGATGAGTACAGTAGCTTGCCCCGAGCTGCCTTCGCAGAACAGATCAACAAACAAGCGGCTCTATTTGTGCCGTCGTGCTTGCCTGGAAACTCCAGACAAACTAATAACCTCGTGTTCAGCCACTTCCCCTCTTTGTCCCTGGAGCAGCAGCCTCACGCAGAGCTCACAGCTCACTCACCCAGAATAGACCTTTTTGTTAATCGCTCAAAAAGCTGCGGACACAGGCCTGTTCATTCAGCTCAACTGCTTAACACTGCAATCTAAATAAAAAGGGAAAGAAGAAAAACTTCGTATTCCTTTTCTACCCTGAATATTAAATGACACCGTCAGTGTTGCCTTGGGACGCAACATCAAACCACTTCCTTTGCTCCGAGATGGGATTTAAGAAGAATGACTTTGAGGCTGACTTGCCTTTTCAAATCTCCCATTTTTTTCCCCCCATCTCAAACTCGAGGATGCAACATGAATGAAATCAGAATTAGCCTCATTACAAACAAGCAAGGGAGGGTGACCTAGATTCACTCTGCCTCTCAGAAGGAAGTGACGGCAAAAGTTTAAAACCTGTCATACGGGGCTGTCGGCTGCAGCACATTTGGGTCAAAGTTTGTTGCAATCAAGTCGTGCTTTCTGAAAAGGCTTTTACTGGTGGGATGATTTGTATGGCAGAGCTGAATTATTCATGGGATTTGTACAGTCACTGCTAGCAAATAACTTCAGCCCTTCCGATGCGAGCACAGAAACTCCAGCTCTTCTCTGCAGCGCCATCAGTGGCTTGAACCCAGCTCCGTGTCCCTGGGCACACACGTGCTGGGCATCGGGGCAGCTCTCACCACCAGCTGTGTCAGGCAGCATCCTGTGCTGGGCCAGGTTGGAACAGGTCTTGCTACAGGTCTCAAAGTGCTAGGACAAAATGTGGGGGTTTTCAATGATTTTACTAAATCCTGCCCCAAAAAAATCCCAAATCAGAGGGCCTGCTCCCAGCAAAGGCAGCCTGGTTGCTGTGCAGGCTGCCAAGGGAGGATGTTCAGCCCAGTGGTAGCAGAGGACTCTGCCCAGGTGACAGTCCCGCTGAAGGAAAGATATGGAAATGATCCAGCTGGTGGGGTTTGGGCCTCTAGGAGATAAGACTGGCTACCTTTCTGAGAGCCTAGAGGGAAAGCTCTCCTCTACATGGATAGTGTCCAAGCAGAGGTGGTTGCTCTTATCTTCAACACCCCCAAAAGTTTGTGCAGCACCTCAGACATTCAGCATGGCT